TGGCATTCTGTGCATCATATTGCAGGCCAGACGGAAAAAATGCTCCGTGTGTCTTGTCAAGGACGTTGTCATAAACTTTATCGAACGCATTGATGAACGCTCATTTTGTCGGCTTTTCAAGCAACCTGACGATGGTGTAAACGCCATCATTGGACATCACTGAACATACTTCTTTTATGAATCGTTCGACGATACTATCCACCATGACTTTATAGCAGGACCGGAAAACAAGTAAGTGCATGAAATTTTGGCTGCAAGCAAACACACAAAAGCGCGTACGCTTAAAGTGTTGCCCTTAATAGAATATTTCTATTTAGTCAGGAAAATAAAGAATGTGAAAAAAGCAAGACTTACGGATCTATAAGGCCATCTGAGCAAAGGAATTTCACTGAAGATGAATGAATAAATGTCGGGCATCGAGTTGGACTGTGGGATTAAGTGTGTCTCCAAGGGCTCTCGTTCTGCAGATGACGAAGCGCGATGAGTTATCTTTTTCAGTCGAAGACGGAGTCTTCTTAGAAATTCCTTGGCCGAAACGTAGAATTTCGGCTTAGGACCCCTTACGGGAACAGATGAGGACCTTGGATGCTCATTTAAGTTACTATTCTGACCCCCGGTTGAGTCCGTCCTCAGATATATAAAGAAACGACAAAAATCTGAGGTGCTGCAAATACGAAAGTCGCAGTTGCTCAAATTAAACTAGTTCTTAAAGTATCAGCACTGGAAACTAAAATATAGTTTACAGAGTTACATACTATCCCGCACTGTCTTAAAACGTACATGGAAATTCAAACATATGCAATATCGTTTCGCGATGCGAAACTGAATTATAGATCAGATCAGTCGTGCAAGACCACGGTAAGTGCTTAGTGTCTGATGAAATCTAATTGCGGAGAAGTTCGTTACAACAGCGCTTGGTTTAACGTAGGACTATTTTTCCCGCAAAAAAGATTTCCTTGAGAGTTGGATGAATTTGCATTAGTGCAATCTTCTCGGGGGCTAGCATGACGAATAGGCCGCTTAATCTCGCATATACCCATTCTTTGGCATCACACTAGCGGGAATTTACTGACACGGTTTCTCTCAGCTTTTCACAATACCGAAGAACTAGAGCAGACAGGGATTCAGAGATGCCATCGCTGGGGATCTCCCTTCGGGAAGACAGCCGACGCCATCGAACTATCTGAAACCACCGTCTTTTAATGCATAACCCAATCGGTAAAGGAGTTCCGTGTCCACAACGTAGAACATGAGAAAACGAGGCAAAATTACGCGGAAACATCTGTTGAAGAAAATCTAGATCTTCCTTAGGTTAGAGCCTATGGAGGCCATGTGTTGCAGCAGCCTTGATTAAAGGGAACTTTGTAACCTTGTAAAACAGAAAAGAGCGAGACTACAATCACGCCTGAGAGAAAAGAACATGTTGTGGGCATTTTTTACCTTCCATGAGATCTCCATCATCGACAAAGATAGACAAAGATAACCTGGGCATTCGAGTACATCGATATTTGAAGTGTTATAGAGGGCAACGTTTTTTTTTGTAGTGACCATCGTGACACTTTGGTTTTCTCCTGCGTTCACTTTCGTGCTGTTTGCGGATAGCGACAATTATTTATCTAGAGATTTACGATCATCTGCGAAATTTATAAGCAACACAAACTTTTGGTATCGTCAAAAATCGAGGATACAGTCGCTTCCTGGGCTGAGTAATAACCTAACTGGTGGTTGGCGAATGTTTGTGAAACAGAAGATTTTTGTTTCGTCGACAAGAGAGGCTGGCTCTAGATAGGAGGTTATTTTCGGAAATCATTTGGGTCAGTCTACTCCCACTGTGCGTATCATCTACCAGAGTACAGAAGTTGTCATAGGTAGGGACTCGCGTTACGACACTGCATTGTTTCCGTAACAGGCATGGACGTTGTGGACTTTGACTATTTGGGAAAAAAATTTTAACGTAGGTTAAGCAAAATACCCCTATGCCGAAAGACGTTAGTTACTTTTACCGACAGGAAGCTAAATTATATAGCCACCCAGTTGCTGGCCAAGGAGCTTTCAATTCATCAAATCTATTTCCTGATTTTGCTACGTAAGGCTATAGAACAAGATGGGAATATGCGAAAACACGTTTTAAAGGGATAAAATGATACCTTGCTTTGTGACCAGTACAGGTAGTTAGGTGACGTATTTTTGTCAGGTTA